CCCCCCACTCATTCATACACGTGCCTACAGAGTGCATTACTTCACACAGAAACATCCCAGCTAATGAATGAGAACACCTGCTGGCAGGTAACGACCAGCCGCCATGCTGCCAGCCCTTATTCAATTAGAAAGGCCACATTGCCTGTCACAGCACCTCCCTGTGGTTACATATAGAACTGCGCAGGCTGTCGCAGCTTTTAGCAAACATGCTGCACCTTTGTGAGAATTTGTTTCCTCTGTATTTACATTTTCTCATATCCTACTTTTTGTCCTGATAATTACATAATGTCACATTTCTACATTTCTCTTTGCAGCCACATACAGACTGCTGTCTACACAGCCCTCCACCAAATCTCAGCATGAGGCCGTTCTTTCTGATTCTGGAAGAACTGTTAAAGCACATATTATCATGCACAGTTAGGAAGAGCAGATCCCAGCAAACTAACTACGGAGCAAGGAAGAGTATGTCTGCGTTGGACACGTTAATAATGCTGACATGAATCTACAAACTCTGCAGAACAGATATTCAGTATTTTATCTGAGGACTGTTTTCTAATGCTGGAAGCAAAAGTGTTTAGGATGTCACGTGTCCTGTATCTGTGCAGATTTATTCATCATGTTCAGGTCCACACGATTTCTGTGAGACTCTGCTAAAGACAAATGTGGGCCACAGTGTGCATGTCCACCTCAGAGACGGTCACCATGGCAAAGGGTCTGACTTTAAACTCTCTATGACGTAAAAGCCTGCGACGAGCCGTCTGCGTAGATGTTGCGTGTTTAACGTCAGCGGTGAGTTCTGCCTGACTCTGCTGTCCTGGAAAGTGAAAGCAGTGCAGAGGGCCTCAGGGGCCCATCGGGGGTCGGAGGGTGTGGGGGTTGGGTGCATTCCCGCCGACAAACAAACCAGCTCCTTAACAGCCAACAAGCACGTGACCAAGCGTCCTCCACACGAAACAGTCCCGTGACTTTCGGGTAACAGTGTCGGGGGCCCCTTTAAGACTCTGTGACAGGATGACGGCAACGAGGTGAGAGCAGAGCGCGCGCAGCATCACGACGATCCCCACAGGAAGGACAAAGAGGAGGAGGAGGCGTGGCGCACGATGGGCGCGTCATTAACGCACGGCTCGTGCTGATGTTTACGATGACAAAGAGGCGTGAGACGTTAAACCTGCAGGACTAGTTAGTCTGTGACGAGGACCGGCCTCTCCGCTCCGCCCAGCACCGCCTGGCGGGCTCCACGCTGCCTGAGCAGGCAGAGACACGCACCGTGGCTGCATGCAGCAGGCACGGAGTCACAACACACAAACAGACATTGCGACGCGGTGAGCCACGAGCAGATCTGCGGGATGATGAACGGAGAGCGGATCGCAGCAGCCGGAGGAGACACGCAGGGGGCCGCGGGGAGGACGCTCCGGTTCCAACGGCCGCACGGTGAGTGACGGGCACGCGTGCACGCGCACTGCGCATGACCGGGATGTAAGAATAGCAGCCTGGTTATGTAATAAAACACACACAAACACACACACGCGCTCTTATTTCATTCATTCCCGCAACACACTGTGTGCGCGTCACCGTGACGCACACTGTGGATAATGTCATTGATTAGTGGGCAGAGGGCGTGATCATCATCATCATCATCATCAGGAATACTGTTAAAGCCAATCAGCGTGCGCGCGCACACACACATTATATAAGGACTGCGATATATCGGGCCTGCCGTGAGCGCGCATATATGTCACAGCGCGCGGTCTGTCAGGCATGTGCTGGGTGGTGCTGCTGGTTTGATAAGACACGACCCGCGTGGGGAATGGAGTCCAGGGAGCAAAGCGCGCACGCCATGCGACGGCGGCGCGTGCGGTGTGAGAGCACAGGTGAGGTTTGTTTCCCTCATTC